CAAACAATATAAATACAATACAAATCTCCAACCAAGAAACCATTATAAATTATGCTGGCAGATGAAATAGAGCCCAGAACTTGGGTGTCAAACGTGAGCAAACATACACCAACTGGATCATTTTTGATTCTAGTCAGTGAATACGTAGATTCAGGAGATTCAGGCGATCTAGGTCAGACTAAGGAGATGGTCCACTTTGTTAATGCGTCGACTGACAGTTCAGAGGTCTCGAGTTCTAGTCCCCGTGGTGCTTCTTGCAATCTACAAACAATACAAATACAATACAAATCTCCAACCACGTTTCGCTCTGCATTTGATGAGGCCACGTAACGATCCAATCCCAGAAATTAAAGGACGTGTCTAAATCCTCCACCCATCTCAACAAAGCAACCATAATCTGTAAAAAGTTCTGTAAGAGTTCTCGATAAAATGGCGACCGCGTGAGCGTGTTAATACCGCAGCAGACGTCACCGCGACCATCTGTTCCGACGCGGAGGACCGCCACGCGTCAAGTGCGTCAAGTAAGCCGAACGCCGGCCACAATCGCGCTTATGTGTGCGAGGTTTATCGAGAATCGACCGCTGGCGATTGTTCCGAGGACAGGTTGTTGTTGGAGATCGCCCACGCTTCACAACAGAGAGATCCCTCGCCCGTATAATCCGTTCGAGCTGGCTAAATGTCAGGCGAGCGCATATAAGCGCGTGTGTCCGTGTACTTTGAATATTAATGAGCTACAGGGTGGTCCAAAACGTTGGGTAATCGTGGAAAGTGATGTTCCGTCGATGACACCGAGGTCAGGCGAACCGTCGATGACGATACGCTTGTCTATGAGGGTTTGCGACGAGATTTTATCAAAGGAGCTACTGGTTGGGCTTCTGTGTACGGTTAAAAGGGTTTCCTTTGGGAAGATTTTCCCTTAGGAGTAAGTTAAGGGGTGCCCAAAGAGGGTTTTTTATTTTTTAACACTTTCAGTGCCAGGCATAACCGTGAAAATACTTAAGAAGTTAAAATTTTGTTCTTAACAATTGGAATATACTGTAACATTTGCGTTGACATTTACAGAAAAATTCACGAGTTCTGTCCAGACTCGTTCTCTTTAACATCTGATCTTCAGAATTAATTTTTCAATCCCTCAGTCCCATATACAGTGAGTGTAATAAGTACAGGAACCAATTCGAAATAAAACTTCATATATTTATTTTTTTAATTAATTTTACGGGAAGAACTAATTAACCAACGTTCCAACATATTTTTAGAGTCGAATTTGCGTACATTAAAATTCATTATTTCTTTTAAATTAGTTGCTGCACGAATACTTCTTACACTGTTTGTATGACTACTTAAATTTAAAAAAAAAAAAAGACTTCTAACATCCTGCAGCTAATATGAATTTAATTCGTAGTATCCTCGGGATTGAAACGTTCGGGGAGGTCTTTTAAAAAATTTCTGGTCCACCGTGTAAAAACAGCCTGCATGTATTTTATCGTGGGTGAAGGTGCGCTATATATTGAAGAGTCCCGAGGACTTTGAGGGTCCTGAAAATTGGTCAAGTCGAAAACAGAAGGAGAGTACCTATTTGTTTTGAAAGCACTATGATAGGTGCTCGAACCACTCGACTCGCCAGCTTCCAATGACTCCGCGCGAAATATAAACACACTTATCTTCCGTTCCGCGGTATCTTCCTTTGAGATGATAAATTGCCGACTTCTCGCTCGAGTTGTTATTCGACTTTTACCTAGTCATTTTTTGAATAATCGATATCGGGTTTCTTCGACGACGTTTGCGTAACCTCGATCACCGCACGATTCCTCTCGAAACTTACTTGATATACTTTCATCTAAACAATATATTCTTATCTACATTCATTCTATATCTTTGTCTATATTTATGTCTGTATTTATCTATCCATATCTTGCTCTATATTTATCTACATCCTTATCTCTAGTCGTTTATGATTTCGTCAATTTTATTTTTAACAACGAAGGAATCTTTCCTGGCAACAAAGTTTGCATCACTGTGACCGAATTCTCGTGGATCGAGTGCATTAAAATGCATTCGCTTCCTTCTAATTGGATAATTAATTCTTTTTAAAATCTAGGCGTCCATCTTGGTCTTATGATTATCTCATAGAGTCGTCTCTAACAAGCTTCAAAAACAAAGAAAGCTCGTGCTGCCATCTAGCAATTAAAAACAAACTCCATGGACGTGGACTTGAAAGTCACAATAAATATCAAAGCGTTTAACTAAATACAGTGTAGGAAATACCCGGGGACTAATTTCAACTCTTTTACGATTTTACAACGGATCTTTATTGCTCGACTACTTTCGCTCGCTTCTCCTTACATTCTAACATTCATCCTCACCTTCACTCACCGTTTCTTGTATTCTCTCTCCCTCTCTCTCGCACTCATTCTTCCTCGCATTCTGTCTCCATCCTTGCCAATCATACACTCGTTTACAAACATTCCATCTATCACGCTTCCTGATTCGCGCTTTTCAAACATACACCCATGGACACCTAATTACGCGCACCATTTCTGCGACTGGCGCGTAATTCGATCCCACAACAGTACCATGAGAAAATTAACGAATTAACTTGCGAGTCCCGCCAGTAAATAAAGGGTTAAGTTGACTTTCATCCACCGCCTCTGGCAGAGGTTTTCAGACCTTCCTGACCAGCCTATCAACGTTTCCCGTTCGTCTTTCTGTTCCAGAGCAACCTACGAAGCCCGAGCAAGAGGAGAGGTCCTGCGTAGAGACCGAGAGCATCGAGACAGGTCTCCGAAAGACGCGGATAGGTCCAGCGAGTCCGCTTCGAGCGTCCCCGTCGAGAAGCGTGGCCTCTTCCTCGGGCGATCGCACCCCGCGTGCGGGTTCCATCGTCCGCGAGAACAGCAACGTGTCGAGAGCCTCGTCGGGCAGCAGAACGCCCCGGGAAAGCAACTCGAGCCCGGAGGGCAGTCCCCTGAAACGCGGAACCATCAGGAACAGCCTTCGAAAACCTCCGCCGACCGGGAGCCTGAGCAAAGCGTCGCCGGTGCCGAAATCCTGCCAGTCGCCCGTCAGCGGCAGCAACACCTGGAACGGCCGCCAAGCTAGGCAAAGGCCCAGCATCCAATCGGACACCTTCCTGAATCCCCAAGGATCAGCCACCTGCGCCACCACGCCGAGCTTCTCGAGGAAGAGCCCCGCCAGACAGAGTCTGCCCAGACAGAGCTCCAACGGTGTCCAGTACGACAGAAACGGAAGGAGGATCAAGCCGTCCACCACGGGCTCCCTCCAGTCGTCCCCTACCAAGGTGGCTAATCCCCTCCTCGAGCAGATCCTGCAGAAGGTGGGCCATCTGCAAGACGACCGCGAGGTGGTCCAGAAGCTCCAGGATCTGCTGAGGGACTACCAAGCCCACGGTGGAGGCGACGTCGCTAATCTGGAGTTCACGAGGGCGTGGATCGACGGAAACGGAACCGTGGCTCTGCCACAGGATAATCAGATGGCAGCCAGCCCTAGGAAGGACCCCAAACCGGCCTCGGAGAGGGCCGGGTTCTCGAGGATACCAGCGCCGGTTTACAAGAGGCCCATGTCCGTTGCGTCCGACAGCGTGTGAGGAAGGCCAGCTGTCCCGAGGAAGAGGGGCGGGTACGTCTCGATGAAGGCCCTCCCGGTGCCTTTGAGATCATCGAGGCTCTCGATATCGGCCGGGTATCGTCGCGAGAACTGAAGGTGTTATCGAACCTTCGCGAGTGGTGATTCCCCTGTCGTGGTACCTTCGGTTTGCGAGAATTCGGGACACCGGGTTGTGACTTCGATGACGCGGAGGGAGGGAGAAGGACGATAAGGGATGATGGTCGACCGGGTAAATTGGTCAGGCCTGAGGTGTATGGCGTCGAGTGCTTTGGCGAATCTACTTAACCAGACCTAATCCAGTCGGAGACCTAGAATCCCAAGTTTTGAGAAAACATGCTCCAGAATCATCATGGTCTCCTGCATGCTCCAATAGTGTCTTGAGCTGTGAATATATTGGAGACTGGCTCTACTATATTTGCAGTCCCAAAGTGTATGAATCGGCCTAATTTCGAGCCTTCCTGGCCTAGTAGTGTATAGACAATCCTTACACTTCCTCGAACCACTGTGTATCGTGCACTTCCTCTAGTGACAGTTATTGAATCATGTTTATCGAAGCTCCTCGTAAATGGAAATCCTTCCGCAGGTAAGAAATTCCAGTTCCTGATGGTGCAATTATCAGCGATCCATTAATGCTCTCTCATATCCTTCTGATTCCTCCCATATAGCTTTCCAGGGACTCCAAGATGAAGATATACAAACCCAGAAGATAAATCAGTCTCGTAAGCATTCGTACCCACTGTATCTATCAAGGATATTTATCTAAATTTTATAATAGGTTTGCTGATTCCAAACAAAGTTCTAATTATATATATATACAAGTGTAAAGTTTATTTATGCACATATTTATGATAAAACATTATAAGTATTCGTAAAGGAAGATTTTCCTTTGGGAGGAAGTTAAGGGGTGTCCAAAGAGGGTTTTTTGTTTTTTAACACTTTCAGTGCCAGGCATAATCGTAAAAATACTAACGAAGTTAAAATTTTGTTGTTGACAATTGGAATATACTCTAACATTTGCCTTGGCATTTACAGGAAAATTCACGAATTCTGTCCAGCCTCGTTTTCTTTAACACCTGATCTTCAGAATTAATTTTTTAAACCCTCAGTCCCATAAACAGCGAGCGTAATAAGGACAGGAATGAATCTAAAATAAAACTTCGTATATTTATTTGATTAATAAATTCTAAATTTATCTGGGAACGTGAAACCTGTCATTTAATTTAGACAAATTTCTCCAACAGATATAAAGGTTACGAATATTTATGGAACTCTAAAATCCAAGTTTCCAAAGACATAGACGATCGCAGGTTTTAATCTCCTCATCTTACATAGAAGAACCCGTAGAGTACCCTGCTACCGCCACGTCCTCGTACCTAACCTCCAAACCTGCTCCAATTCGTTCAGCTATCGGGGTACGTGGTCTCGCGCCTCACACCTCACGCCTGGAGCGAAAAGTAGGCGCGATCTTACGATGAAGCGATTCGTGCCTGACGAAGCAATTAAACGTAGGCAGTCGATGCAAAGCGCGACGGAAAGGCGGCTTCGATAAACGCGGCCGCGGTTTCTGCGCGTCGCTTCTGCCTTCTGTGTCATCGGAGATCGAAGGCGTCCGATTAGAGGAAAACTTAACGGGCCTTAACGGTACGGGGTCGATCGGTTAGCGTTGGCTCCGAGGAGTCACGCGTATCGGGGTGGTGCTCGGAGATATGGTGCTTGGGATGACGTTTACGTGATGCGAAAATGGATTACGAGGCGAGAGAAAAATAAGGATGGAGGAGTGAAAATAGGACGAGGCACGCGAACGGGACTCGTCTCGTCGACGACGGGGACGCGATTTCAATTGGTTATACACGGAATTCAAGATGGGGCAATTAGCCGGTGCTGGTGTTGCGTTAATGGCTTCCCAATCGATTTGCTTCCAGTCAGTTAATTGCACCCCGGCTGACAGCTCGTCGATTGATCCGAGACGAGAGATTACACCTTGCAAACGCGGACACGCGATACTCCGTCTCTCGTAACTGCAACTTTTTCGACCCGTGCCCGACACTTCCGTTTCTTTTTTTTTTTTTGGAACTGTTTTCACACAGCGTCAATGGCACGATTAATTGGTGATATTATTCGATTGGAAATTAGAAAATTGAATTTTTCAATGCGTTGGATGCTGGATTAATAATCATGAAAATTCCAGGTTACATTTTCTTCCAGACTCTTAGAAATGGTGCAATCCAACATTCGTGGTGGTATTTATTATTGCTATCCCTTTAGAATTTGGCAATACCATGTAGATTAATTTTTACGAACACCTCACCTTGGAATTAATTTATTTCATTCCCACATGTGACAAGGATTTTCACTGAGGAATAAATAAATTAATTCTGAAAGTGCGTAGCATTGGTAAATTTGAAAGAGGTCGCAAAAATAAATACTGTCACAAATGTCAGACTATTTTATTAGATTCAGACTATTGCATTTAAAATTTTTGGAGATTTGAAGAACACCAGGGTGATGTTTGTAAAAATAATTGAATAGCTTCAAGAGTGAATTACTCGTTAACTAATTTTGTCCTGGGAATGAATTAGACCACGAAAGACTGCCAGAGTTCCTTTTCAAATATTTTCGTATGGAACCTTTTTATTAAATACATTCCTGAAGATGTTCGTTTCTTTTCAAACATCCCCGTGCATTTGAAATTAAAATTCGCGAAGATCGAGAGTGAAATTTAGCCTATTTGAAAATGAAATTTGACAAATTGACAGAATTTTAGGAAATTTGAAGGATTTGGAAGAGTTTGATTCGGTTCCAGGGCGTTTGAGTCGCAGCATGTTTGAAAGGAGCGTCGCGTGATCGCGGTTTCTTTAGCTTACGATTAGTGTAACCGCGGCCCGCGAATTTCTACGTTTCGTGCGTTCGATCACGGCAAATTATTTATTTATATAGTCTATTGGTTGTATTTATTGAAGACGATTTATTTACGCGTTGCGAGTTCGCTCGAGAATGAGTTGTGAGAATGATGACGTCGGAGGATGGTTCCTTTTTCAAAATATCGGAGCGAGGACTGCTGGGAGAGATCGAATCGAATCTCTCGGGAAGAAATCAAATTTACCCTACCCCTCCCACCCCCCAAGAAAAAAAAAACAGACTGCATTATGTAGATAGTGACACGTGTCGTCGAATAAAATGCCATTCCAATGTTTCACTGTTTTTTATACCAAACGCGAGCGTAGCGCCATTTTGTATCAAGTGTCTTGGCTGGGAAGATGGCGCTCGGAGGCGGGGCAATTCGCAAGAATAAACCAAACATTTGGAATCGCGAAATATAAATTCAAATTCCATGGAGGTGAATTATCTCGTTTTTTAATTCAAATTTCATACTTTATAAAACGTTTCTGCATCGTATAAAAATACCAGTTCGTACAGGGCGGTCAGTGTCGCAAAGACAGTTCTCGAAATCGTTCGTATCTTGATTAATTAGAGGCTCTGTCGAAATCCAGACACTTCGATGAAAATGAAATTAGGGTAATTTAAAAATGTAGCTCGAGAACGTTATTCGGACTTTGAAACCCGCGAGTCTCTAATTGCTCCAGCCTAAACGGCAGCGTCCAGAGTCTCGAAAGGAGCGAATGAAACTTGGCAGGCTCGTGTGAACAAGCTCAAAGCGTCGAACAAGTATTTTTTATAACCCACACACGGTAGAGAATCGCGTCCCTCCGGCCTGGATCCGGCCTCGAAGTTTCACGAAGCTCTCGCTTTCGTTGGAGATTCTGGACCGTGCTCCCCGCCGCCTTAACCCATTTCCCACGCCGATTACAAATTAAGAGGCAACGCTTCCGACTGGGAAGCGAACAGAGACGAGAGTTTATTTTGTTGACGAGAACTTCGAGTAGAGTTCGTAGACGAAACGTGCGCGAGACACGGGGACGAGATTATTTTCTAGTGAGGCGTGTTAGGCGATCTTTGGGAATGATGCTGTGGCTTCTATGGCGTTCGAACGTAGCGCGGATATTTTTTTAAAAGAAAAAAAAAACCTTCAGCCTTTCGCTTGATAAATTTTGCTTGGATGCCGCGACGATAGCGTAGCTTCGGTAACGAAGCGGCTCGCGAATATCGGCGAGAAACCGGCCTAAAATCGATGTTTCGCCTAATCGAAAAGTAGATCGTGAAAATAGCCCGTGGAAATGGCCGCTTTTGCCCGTCCAAGAGTTTCCAAGAATTTTCTAAAAATTGCATTCGACGAAGCGCGATTTTCCCGAGGGGAGACGTTCGAACGAGCCATTGTGAAAAATATACGTGAAAAGGTAAAAAAAAAAAAAAGATAGATTGCCACGATAACATTCCTAGAAGACGCATTAAAAATTGCTCGTAGATTTCACGTTTTCGAGAAGGGGTGGGCGCCCCTGTCTTTTAAAGCCTAAGCTTCGTAACCCCAAGCTGGTGCGGTGTCGCCGCAACGACGAATAATAATACCGATGATTACCAATATTAATATTATTATTGCAAACAATTGCAATTATTGCTATTATTATTATTATTATTATTATTACGATAATTATTATTGCGATCATTATTATTATTATTATTATCATTATTGTCAGGGAGAAGACGATAATTGATTATTCTGATTATTATATGCAACGTTGAGTATGTTATGTTATCATTTTATCTACGAGTTGTAAATTGAATGGAAAACTTGTATAAAAAAATAAAAACAAATAAAAAGAACTTTAACAAAAACGCAAGATTTTCGCTGTTTTTCTAGAATAGCTGAGATCGTCGGAGAAACCTTACCAAGCTTTCAGAATATGTCACCAGTGGACCAAGGAGCAGTGTCAATCACGAGCAACGCCATGTCTACATACTATGCTTAGATCGCTAAGAACGCTTCAGTACATTCAAAAATATATATCAGGCCGTCCCATAAGTTCGTGCCGAAGACTGTGTCGAAATTTAGTAAAAGACCGCAGAAATTTTCTAGTAACGGTATAACGACTATCTGAGAGAGGTGAGAAACTATTGTGAAATTAGACAGATTATCTTTTCTTGTGACACTTAAGAGTATGTTTCACATATTAATTTGAGAAATAGAAGTATAAATGGCACGAACTTTTAGAACGACCTAATACTAATAAAACTATAATATTATAGAACTATAATAATATAGACGATAATATTATAGAACTATAATAATATAGTTTCGTTTTTCAAAATGAATCATAAAAAGATTTGAAATCAAACACAAAGTATGGAAGGACTATTTGACGCATGCGCGAGAAAACTAACTGCCTCATCCCGCCCAGAGCTTCAAACATTTCCATATTAATCGCGAAATTAGTCAAGCTAATTTTTCTCGATGAATTCATCTCGCTTCCGTCTCCATTTTCAGTTTTGACACGGCCCGACAAGCACCTCCGACTTCTTCGACTAACACAACCTTCGCGAGTGACGTAAATCTCTCGCGACCACTTTGGATCCTTTGCGCGCCGTTTCTCCCCAATATTTCAGCCTCTAAGCACGGGTAAGTACACGTGTAAGGCTCCGTTACGGGGCCCAATACACAGCAGTCATCGACGTCCTTGCCGCATATGGCGAGACGGCTCTCCTTCTCGGTTACCAACAACAAACCGACAATACTCGACGATATCGTGCACGTGTGCGTGAGTCAGCATGCGGCTCCGCGGAGCCTCTCGCTCTGGCCGCGGGCGGCGCGCCGCGGATACTCGGAAGGGAGCCATTTTTAAAACGTCCGGCCGTAACCCGGGAGATTTATGAGGGGCCGTGGTAGCCTCGATAATAACAGTGACGATTCCGTCCTGGGATCTTGTATTCGTTAGGGTTGGAAACAATGGGGAACGATTAACCGGCGTTTTTTGCATTGTGGATGGTACGTTGTCTTAAATTATCCCGCGTGGGCGGAGGGTGAGCTGCTGACGTTCTTTGTTTGGGGGTATAGACATCCTCGTACTTTACCTCGGAACTTTTGGACAGTTTACTCCTGAACAGAATTAAACTTGTACGTTCTTCTACATCTACCATGTACCTAAGTAACTCGGTCGAAAACAATGTTGAGGGAACGGTTGCTACCCCTCACTCCCGCGGGCCTTACCTTGGGACTACTAGACCCTTGAACAGAATTATCTAGGTCCCTCTAGATCTACAAATTTACTCCCCTAATGTTGAGAAATTTGTTGGCCGAATATAGGTGCTGTAGAACTCCAAATTCCATTGGGCCTTACCTTGGGACTTCTGGACCCTTGAACAGAATTGTACTTCTAGGTCCCTCTATATTTACAGATTTAGTCCCCTAATGTCGAGAAACTGATTTGTATCCTTTGGTTTAAGAATATGGATGCTCTGGAGCCCCAAATCCCATGGGCCTTACCTTCGGACTTCTGAACTCTTGAATAGAATTACTCTTCTAGATCGCTCTAGAGCTACAAATCTACTTCTCCAATCTTGAGCGATTGGTTTGTATTCTTTGTTTCGAAGGTAGAGATGCTCTAGAGCTTCAACTCTCGTACCCTTTCCCTTGGGACTTTTGGACCTCTGAACAGGATGAATCACCTAGGTCCATCAACATCAACCATGAATCTAGATAACTCACACAGTTCCCGACAATATTGAGTGAGTGGTTATCTCGGACCCCATACTCCCATAGGCCTTACCTTGGGATTTCTGCATGCCTGAACAGAATATACTTCCAGATCCCTCTAGATCTACAAATTCTACTCCTTTAATGTTGGGTAATTAATTCGTATCCTTCTTTATAGGAATATAGGTGCTCTAAGGCCCTAAGTCCCATGTGCCTTACCTTCATGGAATGATACTTTCAAGTCTCCCTAGATCTATCATTCTTAGAGCTCTAATCGAAGATTAAATAATCTTCGTGAAATCTTCAGTTAGAACAAAGCAACCACAAAATGTCCCCCATACGCTACGCCTCTATTACTACGTAATTTGTCCGAATGGACTTTCGTAATTCAATTTTCCGTTAACAGTTACCGCGGCAAATTGTCCATAAGCGTTTCGCGTTCGTCGAAGTGAATTAATGTCGCAAAGTAATGGCAGCAATTAGAAAACCACTTAAATCGTCCTAATGATTCTCATTTAACACGTCGAGCGCTACCCGCCGACCGTTGTCCGTTCATTTCGTATTCCAGCACCGTGCGCCGGTCGGGGCCTCATGGAAATTGCATCGTACACGCTACGTACAAGAATCCCGCGACGCATACGAGCGTTTTCACGTTTCGTTGCATACCGTGCTTTCGAGAACGATTGCATATTTAATTCCCAGCCGCGCAACCGTGAGTCACGAGGACTTGTCCGACTACCGACTCGCGGCCTTCCTTGCAAGACAAACAACATGTTTGCTCGCGTTCAATATTAACCGGCGTGGGCTATTCCTAACCTATTTGGTCGAGCACCGTGTCCTCTGATGGGGCTACTTCCTCTCGTAGCGCCTACCGTGCTGCGCGAGCCCGTTTGATGATGTTTGACGTGTCTTTTGCGCTCGGAAGGAGTAATGGAGAAACCTAATAGTGATAATCCCACTTTTAGAAGGCTAGAACGGTGAGGATTACGTCACAGTCCTTCTTTGTATTCAACATCACTAGAGTGGTACTTTTATACTTTGGAGTATAGTGATGTTAATTAATTTGGCATAACTTTGAGGATCAGGAAGGGTCGTGTAGTGATAATCCCACTTTTATAAGGCATTAGCAATCCTCGGTCAGGGGATATTACGGATGAGAATGTCTTTTATTGTATTCAACTCCACTCAATACTGCTTTCATATGATCCTTCCCTGACAATTGTGAATAATTAAACATCCTTTTTGCAGTCAGGAAGCGTAGCATGCAAGGTTCTGGGCATACAAACATCTACAGACATCTAAAAACCTGGACATACAGATATCTACATACCCAGGCATACATACGTGTACTAACCAATGCAGACAGATAACTACATCCACAAACATCCACACACCTGGATAA